TTTTAGGGAACCACCTGAAAGTGGCTAGGGGACCATTTCTAGGTCCGTTTCTATTGTCAGTTGGAACCTGTTTTATCATTGGTATAAAAGGATTTATATGAATTTTGGGATTCTTGACTAACCTCTAAAACAAGAAGTTTATTTTAACCTTTTAACAATATAAACTCAAATACTGTATTAGCACTGGTAACTTACTACAGTGAAGAATGACCTGAGTAGTGTACTGATGATACTTCATCCAGCTCATACTACATGCTAGTAAGAACAAAGTGAGTTGTATTTTCCATTGTAAGAATTTATCTAAATCTTGGATTGCTTTAGCACCTACTCTCTAGGCCTTATGTCAGTGACTTTAAAACCACCTTACAGGTTTCTAAAAGCATTAAATTATTGTCTGTATTGGTGAAGTTCTCCATTCCATAAGTAAGGAACATGATAAAACTAAAGCTTATTGGCAAATAAGAGAGTGCTTGGTATAAATAATTCAGAATTTATACTTTTGGTGGGGCTAAACAAATGTGCTTGGTATGTGTTTGCAGCAGACAATTTTATATTTAATTAGTGTTTTTTTTCTTGTCTTACATCAAGGTAATTGAATTCCTCTGATTTTTTTTCTTTAAAAAAAACCCACTTTTTTACTCTGAATTTTTATGTTTGTAGTGTTTGCAAAGCCATTATTGTCCACAGGCTTGTCACCTGAACTTTTTTGATAGTTTCAGATTTAATTTGCTTGAAAATGTGACATCTGATCAGGAACCCTTTCTCGTTCTTTAAAAAGCATATATACATCAATATATCATATATATAAATCTTATATACATCATGCAGATGACACCAAGCTGGGTGGGAGTGCTGATCTGCTGGAGGGGAGGAGGGCTCTGCAGGGGGATCTGGACATCTGGATCGATGGGCTGAGGTCAACTGTATGAGGTTCAATAAGGCCAAGTGCAGGGTCCTGCACTTGGGTCACAACAACCCCATGCAACGCTACAGGCTTGGGGAGGAGCGGCTGGAGAGCTGCCCGGCTCTTGAATACTGTGTTCAGTTTTGGGCCCCTCACTACAAGAAGGATGTTGAGGTGCTGGAGAGTGTCCAGAGAAGGGCAACGAAGCTGGTGAGGGGGCTGGAGCACAAGTCTTATGAGGAGCGGCTGAGGGAACTGGGGTTGTTTAGTCTGGAGAAGAGGAGGCTGAGAGGAGACCTTATCGCTCTCTACAACTACCTGAAAGGGGGTTGTGGCGACGAGGGTGTTGGCCTCTTCTCCCAAGTAACTAGTGATAGGACAAGAGGAAATGGCCTCAAGTTGTGCCAGGGGAGGTTTAGATTGGATATTAGGAAAAATTTCTTCACCGAGAGGGTGGTCAGGCATTGGCACAGGCTGCCCAGGGAGGGGGTGGAGTCGCCATCTCTGGAAGTGTTCAAGAAACGTGTGGATGTGGCGCTTCAGGACATGGTTTAGGGGACATGGTGGTGCTGGACTAATGGTTGGACTTGATGATCTTGAAGGTCCTTTCCAACCTAGTGATTCTGTGATTCTGTGATCAAGCAGTTAACGAAGTTTTATTTGTGATAAAACATTTCCTTAACTGGATATCAGAGATTTGATTTCAGACAGGTTTCACAGCCTGATTCTGTTGCTGGGTTATTTTCAGATTTTCTTAGGAATTCCCATTATGGTAGAGATTTCTTGGGTTTTTTGATCTTAGCTTCTTTATTTTCTTTTAAAGTTGTTGCTGCTCTTATTGATTGCTTTGTTTTAGTTCTACTCCACTCAGAACATATGTATATGTGGCAAGGTTTTTTCAAAACTGCATATTTTAGACATTTTATTAAAGCAAGAAAAAGACACATTTCTCATCTGTATGCTAAAAGTTTGTTTTTCTTTGGATATGGCATAACTTTCCATGACTCTGTTTTCTAAGAATTTAGAAATTACCATTTATAAATAGTAATGTTGAATTAAACCTTCTTCTGTCACCACTTACTGACCTTGATATGGAGTTGCAGTGTGATATGTTGGCCCAGTTTAAGAACGTGAAGCTATAATTTCTGATTTCTGTAGAATTGAGTTCTTCTCTTAAGCATAGAAATTACAAGTAAACCTACACATCTTGTATTTGAAGAGCACTTTCATCATTCTAGTTGTGATTTAGCTCCTCACATCTAGCTGTGGCAGGAACAACATCATTATCTTTTGTCTACTACAGAAGAGTTTTAGGCTGTGTTGTATAAACTATTTGCTTTCAAATTTCTTGACAGATTCAAACAAGGAACAAAGCTAAAGTTGATAGAAATTCAAGACATTACATGAGGGAATTTTTTTTTTTCTCACAGTGATCTTTCAAATGAGCAGGATTTGTAGCAAATCTGAGTTAAATCCTCACCTCCTAACGGCTAGGTCTTTAACCACAAGACAAAGACTTGATTTCATTTTTCTAAAAATTTCCGTAATAAAGATGAGGAAACACGCAACATTCACAGATATGAAAGGTAAAAATAGTGCAGTAAATTCTCTGATGGTTTGTTCATTACAAATAAAGTGCAGAATTGATCAGAAAATGTCAATAGATCTTCTGTCATTTTTTAATAGAATCACAGAATATCCCGAGCTGGAAGGGACCCATGAGAATCATTGAGACCAACTCCTGACTCCACACAGGGAGGCGTAAGAGTTAAATAATGTATTTAAGAGCACTGTCCAAATTACATCTAAGAGCGTTAGTTTACTTCAGAGAATTATAAGTAATGGTAAATTTTGGGATTCAGCATATAATTTTAATGGAAATTAGTATGTTAAGTTAGAAGTGTATCAGAGCTCATATCTAAACTCTATAGATTTCTGCCCTGGGAGTGATCCCTGGGCCCAGACCAGGGAGCAGGCTGGTTCATGTATGCAGTACTTGGCCTGGTGCCTCTAGGATGGTTTGGGCAGTCCAGGTTTCCTTTGAATCCTATGTTGCGTTCCTCTGGCTCTGAGATAATACCATTAATTTTAAGATTTCTTCTGGCTCATGCTGCCTAAAATTGTGTGCTGGCTGTATGTCAGTCCTAAGAGTGATATTTGATATGATGTCAAGGATATTTTTTGCATGTTCTGAAGCATGGTGTGAGAAAGTTAAGGTGTGTTTGAGGTATAGAGATTTTAGTGTTTGGGAGGTCTCTGTAGGCAAAAGGAACAAAACCTGAGGTTTTTTCCCCCAGAAAGAGTAGCAAATTTTTGCCAGAAGAAAACCTGGGTTACATCTCAGAAGGAATTAGTTGTTTCGTTCTGGAAGGTTGCCCTCGTATAAAGTAACGTGCATGTGGTGTGGGTGCTTAGGGATGGAAGACCCAAGAAAGAAGCAACTGGCTTTCTCAGTTCATAGTGTAGACAGACATACCCAGAAGCAGCATAAACCATAGTTGATAATAAGCCTGCATTCAGGCATGTTTTAACTGGTTTTAAAATACTTCACTAGGTGTTTGCACATCTCTGCCGTGACGTTTGAAAGAACTGCTTGTCTTTGATGTTAGTCGGTGATTTCTGAAACAAAAAATAAAACCTTTGTTATATCTCAATATGTTTTTGATGCTTAAAATTCAAAATAAATTAATAAGGCGACTAAATATTGCATTTAAAGAAAGAATGCTTGTAACCCGTTCATCTTTTTGAAAGCCAGAGTTCTTATCTAAAGGGTCATCTTTGCTATGGTCTAAAGAATTTTTTGTAATTTTCAAGTTGCCTTCAATGCTGTTTTTAAAGTTAAACTCAGTCACTTTTTTGAGTTACTTGTAAGTGAGCTTAATATATATTTTTTCATAAATTCACCTTCATAAGTAGGAAAGCCCTTTTTACATATATTCACCTCCCTTTAAGGAGTGTCATCTAACTTATTTTTGCTAGCCTTTCTTAAGACAAGTCATTGACAATTCTCTACAGATATGTCATGTAAATGTAGTCAGAAGATTCTTTAGAAAAAGAAATATAAAAAACTGATAAATAATTATGTGCCCCATAGTTTGGATTTAGTGTTAGCACTTTCAGTGTGATCAAACTTATTTGTGGGCTTGCTGTTCTGCGTATATGAATTGCATGCTAGAAATTACATCTTCCAGCAAGCCGAATGTAAATTGTAATAACCAGCATAATGTAATCCTTATCAAATTTCTAGATTTTTGCCTTCTGTAGTTCATTAATAAGCTGCATGAACTTTCTGATCTAAAATTATTTGCTTCTAACAAAATAATAAGTGAAGTAATCAACGTACATTTCTGTAGTAATTAAAAAAAATGGTAGAAAATAATTACTCCTATTTCTCACAGTCTGTCACTTTTATATATTGGAATCAAACACAATTTATCTTGTCTGGATGTTAAATATATGTTTTAGCTGCTTATTAATATTTGCTTTTGTTTCTAGCTCACAGTTTTTTATGTAGAATGAGTGTGGTATTGTGGCTTATTAAAATGATGCTGAGACCTTCAGAGTTGGACTTTTTTCGGTATTTTTCAGATGTTTTAAAAAAGCCTGTACAGTTAATTAAAAGAGGACACTTTGATCCCTATTAATGTAATGTGTATCTGTGTTAGGAAATACGTCGAAAGATAATGTTAATAATACATGTAATTAGTGAAAACATGCCCAAGACTTGGCTTAAATGATGTTTGAAGTTGTGACTAAGTTATTGCTGTCTTCAATAAATGCTTATTATTTCTAATATATTATCTGGGGGCACTGTAGTAAAAATATTAATTTAATGAGTGTTAGAATTGACAAATATATTATGGGGCTATTAATAGTGATCTTGCTCTCTATGTTTTTTTTATTTTAATTTATGAAAAAATAATAAGACTTTGATTCCAATAAAAAAAATAAGCAGGTGAGATGATAAAAGAATTGACAGTCAAGTGGCTGAAACAGCTGAACCCTGTGATTCTCCAAGATGAATTTGACAAAAAAGGAGAACAAACATCTTGTTAGAAGGAGTTTTATTTGCTCTGTCTCTAACCATGTCTTCCAGATGTTGGGTCAGTGGAAGGACTTGCTTATCATAGAGCTTGGGATACTCTCTATTGGACCAGTTCAACCACATCCTCAATCACGAGACACACTGTTGACCAGAGACGTCGAGGAGCTTTCAACCGGGAAGCAGTAATAACAATGTCTGAAGATGATCATCCACACGTGTTAGCTCTAGATGAATGTCAAAAGTATGTATTATATCTTTTTTAGTGTATTTTGATTTTTGCCTAATGTCAAGGACACAGCAGCACTTCTTTATTTCACAGTCAACTAATACTGCTGCACCTCATGAAGGTGAAGTAGATTTCTTAATTTAGGAGTCAAATGCTAATATTAACTTTTAAAGCAATCTCAGAAATTAAGAGACAACATTTTATATCTTTTTACGTTTCAGATCAAATAATCATTACATTTTCATGGAATGTTAAAAATGTCAGGATGTTTTTTTAAAAAGTGAGTTAATTGCAAATTATCAAGAGCAATCAGTTTACTAATTTTTTTTGTTAGACATGTTACTCTCATTGCTTAAATAAAAACAAAATTAATTTAAGCATTTACAAACAGGAATCTGAATTTCTTGTGTGGCAAACTGGTAGGCCCGTGTGTTTATCACAAAGTTTAGTGTTGTATAAATTTATATAACAAGAGGTGTACATTTACTGCACTGTGGACAACATCCTGGAAAGAAGTCTAATTTAGTTCCTTTCCTGCCACTCTCAAGACGACTGTGTTTCCTAGTAAGGTAATAGAAGGGTTTGTATTTCTACTTCTAGAAGCTTCTTGCTAGTAAGTGTTTTACAAATTTGAGTTACTTTAATCTTCTCTGTTAATTCTGGAAGAAAGGCTACCTGCTTTTTCTGCTTCTTGTAACTATCTCGCCTTTGGGAAGGCTAGGCTACATTTCTGCCTTACTATATTCTGTTTCTAATTTGGGATAGCTGAACGTATGAAGTTGACTCCATGAGTAATCAAGGAGGTCATTTCCATGTGTGACTCCACGTACAGTTTATGCAAATCAAGAGTTTACACTGCATGGTAAAATGCAATTTATCTAGGTAGCATAAATAAGCCAGCTAAATTCTTACGGAGATTGCAGTGAGAGGATAGGCAGCTTCTGATTAGTGTATAAGTTACATCCACAGCTCATTCCATAACGTTTTGTCCACCACTATTTAACAGTAGCAAGGGGCCGATTGTGCCTCCTTTAGAGCATATTAAGGCCCCATTATCAACCTTCTGCATACCAGTCCTTTTGTCTGTATCACAGTTCTAATATGGGAAAATTGGCAGATTAATTTCACCATTGGAAATTATGAACATACACATGAGCAGAATTAAGTTTGTGCTGTGAAACAGTTTATATCTATCTGTAGGCTAAAGACGTGATCTGAATTGAACAGACCTGTGAAGAGAAAAAAAAAATCTGTACTCCTATACAAGTTAATGAACTAGGAAACTGCTATAATTTATAGGATGTTGGCTATCACATTTTCTTATTCACCACTGGTTGTCATAATTACTTATAGATGTCATTCATAATTGTCTATGAAGGTATATGTTTTTTCTGTTGCTCATTTCATAGAGAATTAAATTATAAAATGTATCTTATGGCTTTGTTTGTTATTTTGATTTTAATACAGCTTAATGTTTTGGACTAACTGGAACGAGCAGCTCCCAAGCATCATGAGATCTACCCTCGCAGGCAAAAATGCACAGGTTATCATTAGTACAGATATCCTGACACCAAATGGACTTACCATTGATCATAGGGCGGAGAAACTTTACTTTTCAGATGGCAGCTTGGGAAAAATTGAGAGGTGTGAATATGATGGATCACAAAGATATGTAAGTAAAAGAAAAATCCTAAACATATTAATTGTAAGTCTGTTTGCATTTGCTAACATCTTTAAAATCAGAACGATACAGAAAGATCATTAGTTGCCTAAGTTTCTCCTAGGATTAGTTATACGTTAGACTTAAAACTGAAAACACTTCCAAACTACAAGTAATGCTCTGTTTACTCAACACGTTCCAGTTTCTGGATGACCTTCTGGAGATGCAGACCCTTACCACAAAATCTATTTGCATTGGTATTGATTCTGAAGCATCACTGTCCTAAATGATCTATCAGCTTGAAAAAAAAGTAGAACTTCAGTAGAAGAGGTAGAGAAATGTTTTGCTTTACGTAGGACGGTTATAATTTTTCTTTCACTGCCAAACTTTTCTGAATGCATTAGACTTTTTTTTTGTGTAATGTTTGGGATTTACTCTACAAATCTTTTTTTTTTTTTTTTCTTTCCTAACTATACATTTTCAGATATATTCAGCCACACTCCACTGCTATCTTACCACAATACATTTTGGTCCTGGAGTGCTCTATTAGTTTCAGTTCAAGTAGACCTTTTACTTTGAACATGCTGAAGGCAGTTGATATGTGCTCACAATTTTGTTGCATGTGTAGCTCTACATTTCTCGTATATCATGAAGTCTTCCTTTTGGAAATTTTGTACCTCCCAAAGTACATGATAAAATAAATGAAGAGCATGTTCTGGCTTGTATTTTCAATTCCCAGCTCTACAAGATAATGTTTGGTACATCAGCTCGCTTTCATATCTATTAATGTAAAAAAAAAAAAAATTCCTTCATATACTACATAAAAGCTTTGAAATCTTTCTAGATCTTAAATGAGAATTACATGTGTTTCTGTAATCTTATGAAGAAGTTGTTCCACATACTTTGTTTAGATAAAATTCCTTATCAGAGCAAACTGAGAGCGCCAAGCTTGCAAGAGTAGAACAGAAGTGACTAGGCATGGTTTTGTGTCATTTCCTTTCTCTTTTTGTTTTCACTTGTATCAATTAACCACAGCTCACTCATGTTTTCAGATGTAGCAACTGTCAGAAACCAGACAGACCAAAGCTATGTGGATTCTAAAGTATACAATCTCGGACTATATATCTGCTGTGAAAATGGATTGACTTTCTGGGGTTTTTTTTTCCTCAGTGAATCTACCTTTTTGTCTGAGAATAACACACAGAAGGCAGTTCGGTGGTTTTCTTTGTTTTGTGTTGTTTTGTCACTTGGAAGATAAAAATGGAATTACACTTTCCTTCTTTCATATTAACCCTTGGGTTTTATACTTTAATTATATCTTGATTCTAAAGGTTATACAAAATCTGTACTTACTTTTAATTTAAATTTGGGTCATACTTTCAGAGATTATTTATATGATTTAGATCTGTATGTCCTGCATCTTTTGTCAGATAATATAACAGAACAGCACATGATGTTCCAGATGTACATGTAACACATCTATATGTAACCATATATAGCAACTCAATAGCATTTGCAGAATTATTATTCTATCTCTTACGCTACTAAATATAAACGATCAAAAGTTTTCATTGGCTTTAATGCAATGATCTTGGAGTTCCTACTTAAATTACAAAAGGATATAACTAGTTCAAAGGATCTCTGCTTAGTTTCTGTCGTTTGTTGTTTTTCTTAAATCCTGCCTCATTCCTCAGTTCTACTAAAATATATCCATTCTTATATGTTCTTTTTCCTGACTAATTTAAATAATTATGTATCTGGAAAGTTCCTCAGTTTGCTGTCTGCCACATTAAGGTATTTTTCAAATGGAATCTTGAGGGACTTGTTGGCATCTTAAAATGCAGGTATAGGAAATACAGATAGAGGCAATTATCTGGTTTTCTCATACTTGTCAACATTCTCAAATATTTTCTTTGTAGGACTTTGATCACAATTTGAAAGTCCTAATATCCTGCATCATCCTCTTCTTGACTTTCTGTCCTTTATCTTCTGTTTTGTTGTCATTTTGAAGACTGACAGTATGCTAGATTTTTTTTTTATTATCCATCTACATTATTATAACTGTAAGTTACTCCTGTCTTGAAGTAAAGTTCATTGGGCAATTAAAAATGCCTAGTTAAAGGCCTCGTGCAACTTTTCTTTCTTTCACAAGTAGGAACTTGTGCTAATACTTCATTGTGTTTGCCTGCAAATTTATTGCAAATTCAGACACTTATTCTTAAGTTCCTGGAGCTTAAGGATGTACATAAATATTTATATGCATACCATTTTTTTCCAGTGATTTGCTTTGCTTAAGTATGCTACCATCTCTATCTACTAAGTTATTTGTCACATTTATTAGGGAAAAGAGAAAAAGGTCTCATTTAGATCATCAATAGTAAATAATTCTAAAAATAATTTCCTTTATCTTCTATGCTTTCTTCAGTTGTTTTCTTTGAAAGTATCTCTTTCTAGATTGGATGTTCTTTTGTTCCTCTTCTAGTTCAACAGGAATTCTCATTTTCTTACACTTTCTTCAGTTAGAATTAATTTTTTTTTTCCTGTTCATTTTGGCTGCATTTCCACTTTCTGATGTATACGTCTGCCTTGTACTGCTGTTTCTTTTCCATTTTGCTATTACGTTTAGTTTTAATTTCCTGATCCTGTTTTACTTAAGATTCTGAATATGCCGTCAGTTAAGTACAAGGTAATTAGTAGGTTACATGGAAACAGTTTAACTTTGTCTGGTGTAACAAAATATGCATCACGCATGTGAAATGGGAGCTGATGTAACGTAGTTGCAGAAACCATTACTAAAGCCTACTTTTTTACCAGACCTCTGGATTTCAGTTTCTATCAGCAAGACAGACTGGTCATTCAGTTTTCTCAGCTGTTGAATGTTGAAGCTTCTAACTTTCCTAGTATATTGTCTCTTGGTTTGACTTTCTGTCATTTAACTCTCCTTCCAATTACAGTAAACAAAAAAAGCTCCTGAAAGCAGTAAATTGAATCCATCATGCTCTTCTGAAGGCTTTTTTGGGAGCTCTATTGTGTTACATATACAAAGCTATACTACTACTGGTTGTCCTACACCAATACCTGTTTTTGGAGAATCGACTAACTCTGTTGTCAAAAATACTGATCCGAGTTCTCACATGCCATGAGCTTTGAAACAGAGTTGTTTGTGTTTCCTGGGTTCTGAAGGCGCTTTTCCTGCATTAGTTATATTGGGATTGTCGTACCAGAACAAAACCCACCAGGCTGCTTCATTCAAATCTGCATTTAAACTGTACTGGCCTCACTAGCAGTGCTTCAGCAGAGTTGCTCATCACCATGTAGATGCATTATTACTGATAGAAGAATGCCAGAATCCAACCATGAAATTGTATTATTGATCTGGTGAAATAATATTTCCAGGGCTATTGTTTTTCTTCGTTCATATGCTGTCCAACTTGAAGAGGTCTCTGGCCTCTGTAACATTAGAATAATACAAGTAACAATTGTTCCAATGTTCTGGTGATCTGAGATTCTTTAGGATGTTTCAGCAAGTTCCTGCCACTAACCGTTAACACCAAAAATAGTTTAAACGGATTACCCTTTTCCTCACTATCTCTGCTTCATTGTTTTCTAGTTTCAGTTGTGTTACCAAAGGTAGAAATTGTATAGTAGAACATGAAATGCTAATGTAATGTAATGACTTTTATTCCAGCTTCTTTCTTCACTCTACTCACCACAGTAATCTAGTACAATGAATGGGTAGAAAATAATTCAGCAGTATTGAATTGACCCTTTTAAGTGGATTGTAAGAGTTTATTGATTTTGTGTTAAGCTGATATTTTAATACTAGTGTTTGGTTGCTGGAGTAGTCTTTCAAGTTTGGAAGAATTTTTTTGTTACTTTTGCTCCTTTTTATTACTTAGAAGATATGCAAGGTTTTTTTAAATATTGCTTGTTTTGCTCTGTAAGATCTTCCTGTTTTAAAACACAAAATTGGCAATTGTTTCTTTCACAATCCCATCCCCTTTTTCTTCCATTTTTCCTCCTTCCCTTAGTTGGATTTAGTAATTTGGCCACAGCTGTTTTTAGCTGCTTATTGCTTTAATTACGACATTTTGTTCATGAACAGAGACTGAGCCAACAGCAAATGAAGCTGGGGTTTGGGTTTGGGGGGGTTTTTTTCAGTTTATTTTTCCAATAAATTGTGAGCTATTTTGACTTTTTTTTCCTTTTCTTCAGTGTTGAGTATTCTGTAACATTTTACATATCAAGAATCTAGAAATATAGTTTATTTCCTGTGAACCAAAGTGTAGTTATTTTATACAACATATAGGTTGCAATGTTTTGGTCTCAATTACAGTTTTGTGGGCCTACAGGTGTGATTGTTAAAATCAATATGGTTTTAGAGCTGTCTCCAGTAATTATAACCTTCATATAATTACAACCTTCCAGTAATTATAACTTTCAATTTCTAGAATATATGCTCTTCATTCTGTTGGAAATCTGTATTTAAACAATTAAGCAAGTTCGAAAGTTGGTGTTCAACTTTTGTTATCTTCAGTAACAATTTTGTCAGATCTGTTCTTCAAACTGCTAAATGTAGAAATAGAAGTTAAAGGTTGGGCTGTGCATTTATGAAAAACTTGACTTTATGGTTGACATCTGAGATTACTTTTCAGACATGTCATTATATTTATTTGTAGTACAAGTATGATTGAGGAGAGCAGAGTAATTTTGGTCAACTCTTGTATGGTATTCATGTTGACATCAACATTACCTTGAGAAGTGTTGAATAACTCACTGAGGCAGGATAGAAGTGAGATCAGCCAAGGTAGCCAGAACAGAAATAAATCACACAAAATATTAACACTTGGAAATGTAGAATGTCTAACCCCATTAAAGTCAGAATGTGCTAAAAAGTCTTAGGAAAGATTCTCACTAAGATCTGAACATGAGCAGTTACAAAAAGACGCAGGTCCTGAACATGATTCTGAGTTGAAGAATGACATTGCTGTATTCTCTATACACTAATAAAT